TGATCTGATTTAGAACCGGTTATTTATCTAGCAGTTACAGGAATCCATAGACCTCTTCTGAAAACTCCATATTTTGAATTAATCAATTTTCCTTGCGAGCTATTTTCACTGTCCAGCTTTCATAACCCTAATTGGGAGTACCATAGCATTGATGGTCTTGGCCTTGCACCCTCCAATAAGAAGTAACACAATTGCTTCAAGAGATCTACTGCTTTCATGCCTTGCATGCAAGTTTCATGGAAGTGTCTGAATGTCCGTGATGGGACTAGACAGACCTCTGCTAAAATCCAGCAGGGCTCTTATTTACAAATTGCAGTATTTTAACAAATTCCATTAGTGAGAAAGCATTTAAACGGAAAACCATTGGAAGGGACTTTTTCATTGATGTGCTAAAAAGGAAAGCTCTTAGTGCTTCCCTGTAAAACTGGTGACATGAATAAGTAAATTATTTTAAGTAGAAACAGTATATTGCAAAGCTTGTTAAGCCACTGGCAATTAAAAAGAGAGATTGTATTTTCATTAACCAAACAATAGATCAGTATAGAAGGAAGAGCACCAAGCAGGGGGAAGAAAACATATAGCCCAAGGTATCAAACCATATTTTATTATACAATATAGAAGTTGCACTTTTAAAATAAACTCATTTTAGGAGGCAGCTTAAAAGTGGTATTTATGCATATTTTATTAGGAACATCCCTCAAGAAGTTACAGATAATTCAGTCAGAAAAAAGAGCATAACTCATATGTTTTGCTTGCTAATCAGAGGGAGGACTGGTGTAGGAGGAGGCACATAAGATACTACAGCTCAAGGTCATTAGATACAGGACAACTGTTTTGTATTCAGTCCCATTGCTCCTATCCAGATTCAGAACTATAGCTGAAATTTTCATAGCATTGGTTCACAGGTGTTGGTCCCATCTTCATCGGTCACAGAGTAGACACAGACATTATCTGGAAAAATGTGTACACCACATCTACCAAGATAACAAAAATCCAGAAGAGAATGGACAGGGGTGTTGATGTTTCCAGAATGTCCCTATGGTCGCTTGCAGAACGTCGCCTATGGCAGTTTCTCTATATATGATTTACTGATCTGTTCTCCAACTGCAGGAAAATTATTTAAGGTTTGGTGGTGGATTTACAGATAACAGGCAAATCTATCACACTTGCCTAAGAAAATGCAATTCTACCTTCTGTACTTGAAAAACTCAGAAATTAAACCCGTGTTCATGCTATTCCCCCTTCTCTGCCTTCATTTCTGATAAATTGTCAGAAGGATGTTGCCTTCCACATTGTGTTTTCCTTAGCACCACCAGTACCGTGTAATTTGCTTTAATACTTTCACACTTTATGCAGGCAATTCCTGCTTCAGATTTGCACAACTGCACAGGTTCAAAATCCCATAATGGAACACAGTCTGTCCAAGTAAGCCTAACTACTTAGTGCAAAGCAGAATGGACAATGGTCATAAGGAAGAAAGGCAAAGGAAGTGCACTGTGACAAGCCACCTCAGACCTCATGGCAGCAATAACGGGAGAGTACAGGATTACACTCCTGGTTTCTTCATGTTAATTTCATAATTGGAAAAATCTTTAATCCATTCGCAGTGCTACAAGACAACCTGAGCCCCAGAAGTTTCCAACCACAGTGTAAACAATTTCCTAGTTTCTCCCTGCTGCATAAGTAGAGTAAGAGATAACACTGAATTCAGCCTGGCTCTTATCTGAAATAAGCTCTTACAACAGATAAGGCTTTCTTTCAAAAAGGCCATTTCCCCAGTTTCCTTTTAGAAACAAAGAAAGATCTCTTCTGGCCAAACAAAATTCTGAGTATCTGACCAGAATTTCACTGGTAACACACTTCCAAAAGTTATCAGGGAAATATTCCATAATGTTCCGTTATGTGTCATTGAGATTTCCATGAATGTTCAGATTTAAAGCGCCTCTTAAGACTTACAAAACTCAGATACGAGATTGTGTTGCAAAATTTCTTGCCAGCTATTCCCAGTTCTAGCTGCCCCCAAACTTGCCCGTTTCCCCTCCCCCTTTCAAACACTGGTCAGTCCTGACATAGATGAAAACTCCTCCCCACTGAAAAACCCTTTTGCAGGAACCTGGACACACAAAAATTGTACAGAAAAAACGTACACAGATTTTAAATAAGTTACACAAAAGGACACAAGCATAACTGTTGATAAAAACTGGAATATGGCAAGGAAGTTACAATAAATCAACCTGTGGCATCAATTACTATTTAATGTTTTAAAATGCATCCGTGTAAACAATATTCTTAGAATTGCAGACCTGAAAGGGACCCTGTGGGCCATCAAGTCCAGCCCACAGGGTCAAGAAGGCACATCCGGGAATCAAATGTCCAACCTCTGGCTTCCCTAGCTGCTGAGCTATCTAGAAGTCATTCAGTTTCTCATACTAGAAATTCAATCATGAGTTCTCTTAAACATATGAAACAAAAAATGGAGGACTCCTTAAAAACCACCTCTGAGCAGCTGTCCCTTCTAGAGCACCAGTGTTGGAGAAATAATTGCTATGGTTCAAACTACACAGAAAGGGTCTCCCTATACTGTGACAGTCACCAAATAATCGCTGCATCAAATGCATGAATCACCCTGGCCTTCAGTCCTTACATAATGGAGTTTCATTACTATACACCAAGGTCTCTTTATTAAACAAAAAGTCATTATGTATGGAGGCAACCATACATTTCAAACACATTTATGGCTAGCCTTAGAGAGTGGAAACAATGTACATTGGAATGAGAAAGCAGAGAGTCTTTCACACTCCATGCCGCTCACTGTAAAGAATTAACAATCTAACAGACCACATGTAGTACGATCTTCTGCGGCTCCCTGTTGCAGATGTTCTACTTCCTGCTTGTTGGAAAGGGCTGATCATACATGGCTCCTGCCACTGGGTGTCAGACTTCTACAACAATCCACTAAAGAAAATTCCTCAAAAGTAGCTGGCTGCAAACTTTGAATAAGAGCAGAGTAGTTAACACAAGTGTGAAAGTTATAAGACTGCCCCCCCCCTTTTTTTGACTTTTAGATTTTCAGTATTTTTCAGAAACATTTAAAGGCTCCCAAGCTGAAATCAGATATTCTGACACTGTGGGTAAGAAGGCATTGTAGATATAAGTTTGTCTTTTTGTGTCTCCTAGTTTGAAAGATGACATATTGTATGTCACATTGTTTTATTTAAGCAGTTCACATCCCATCTAGTTACCTGAAAAGGGATAGACATAAAATAGAGCTTACACTGGTCATGCATGGTGTAGGATATTACAACTCATGTTTAGGTGACTTGTTCTTTCTTTATCTGTAAGCTAGTAATGGCTATCCTTATCAAAAATTCCATACCGGGCAAAATCATGGAGGGATACACGGACGTCTGCACTCCTTTGCCTCATTTCCCCCCACCCCATAGTTTTCTTAATTGAAAAAACACACCACTGCCCACCAGTAACAACTTTTAATTTTTTTAAATGAGTGAAGTATGCTGAGATAGCCTCAAAACATGACAACATTGTCCCCGTATTCACAGAGGCCACAAGGGAACTTCCTGAGCATTATTAAAATTTGAATGGGGAGGGGAACATGGGTCTGGAAGATGACATTTGGAAGGTCACATGGGACTGGTCAGTCTCATACTACCCACTTCTGTAAGTAGTGGAACTCCCCTGCTAGATAACTGGGAGGAGGTGATTTCTATCATTCCACCACCCTTCTCTGGGCTGTCCAGAGCCACATGGAGAAAGCACTGAGGGCTACAAGTGATGTTGAGGTCAGTGAAAATAATCTCTTCTTCTCCTTTTTTAACAGGTAGGAGCATCTTGAAGGGAGTTCCGCTCAGTGTTTTCCTACTGCTAGAAACAACCAAGATAAAAAGCAGCTTTCCTAAGCTAAAGAAAAATACAAGAATGTTCTAGAGCAGCGGTCCTCAACCTTTTTGGGACTGCAGACCGGTTGGGGCGTGCGGGCTCCGTGTGCGGGGGGGAAGCAGAGGCACCTACACACTTGTGGAGGGGGGGGCATGACGTGCGCGGAGGTTGCGGACCAGGGGTTGGGGACCCGTTTTAGAGAATGTATACTGAAGAAGAGGTGTGGGCTTCAGTTGTATGCGGTCTACATTTTACTGGAATATCTCCAGTGATTAGTATCCATAAAGAAAGAGTAAACATTCAGGCTCTCTTTTAACACTCACAGAACTAATCTGTGCTCACTGATCCTCAGACCTTGCAAGAGAAATCCTCCCATGACAGCATTCTTTCCACCCCAGCAAGGTCTATGGGAGATTTGCTAGTGTTCTGTCATCTCCCTTCTGTCCGTACCTGTGCAAAAAGATTACGCGGTAGTAAAAGCTTAAGCCACTTGATGATGTCCCTCTAAAGCCTCCAATTGCAGGTATTAACAAAATACTTGTGCCCATCTTGATCCCACAATCTAAGAAATTCTGAGCCAGAAGGAATTAAGCTATACAAAGAATGTTGGTTTACTAGATGCTTCTCTTCACGTCACCGGAAGGACAAAAAATCTTCTTCTTAGTATTCAATCCATTAAAGAGCACAATCGTATTTTTCATTTTGAAGCACTGATCAGGCTATCTGTATTTTATACATTCTAGCACTACTGTTTCCTCTTTCCCTTTTGTTGAGTTTCTATGAAAAGTGACGTTCTCCCATATACATAATCTTGTGTTGAAGAAACTGAGTTAATGTTTACAATTAAGATCCGGAAACAGAAGGGGAGGGTTACTAGCCTTTAAAATAACAGAAGTCTGTATGAAAATGTAAAACTGAATGGAGCACCTAAACAGATGGACAAATCTTAATGGCCTGGACCAAACTAAGATTTACTAGTCATTGACTATCTGTTGACAAAATACTAGAAATAGTATTTTTTTAGGTTGTGTGAGACAAAGTGCTTCAGCGTGAAGCTCCAGAAATGGCTAGCTAGGTCTCTGAAATCATTCACAACAGCCGTCTCTCCTACATTTATTTATTTTCAAATTGATTTCTCCAAATATACCTAAACGTGCTCCAAATTCAGGATTCATCCACAACACAGATGTCTAAATTGAGCCAGCAACACCATGCTTGTCCAGTTAATACTGATAAGAAAACTCAAAATTAGCAATAAATATGGTTTAGCTCAGCCATTCTCAACCTTTTTTGGCCCCATCACTTTTAGGAGCTCTTCCCAGGCTCTCGTTCCTACCCCCTATCAAACAAGGACACAACATAGATTAATAGAAAATCTCCTTCTCACATTTTTCAGTCTGTGCCCCCCTTCAAATGTGTAAGAGCCCCCAGAGGGCCATATGGCTGGTTGAGAATGACTGGCTAAGATAACTCAACAAGTCAACGGAAGATCCTAGTTGATTAATCTTTGGGCTGTATTTTATTGTTGCCCAGAAAAAAGACGTCAATTCAGCATCAAAGCTCTTTCTTCTGGAATGTCTCCCCATTTAATTTCTCTGATGAGCTGTGTTTCGTTGTTCTATTGGCAAAGTTCCAATCAACAGGACAGAGAAGCTGCTGAGTCTTTTTGTACGTCCAGTAAGGGTTAAGTAAGAGCGTGACGGCACCCATTCCTATGAGCTCAATGACAAAATGAAAAAGTTCTAGATTTTCCGCAAAAGCATTCCAATTGGAAATGCACACCCACCACATGTGATATGTCAGGATCATACGGCAGTGAAACATATGGATCATTATCCACTGGTTTGCCTTCCAAAATAAAGTATTAGACCAGCCAACCTGGAAGAGAAAATTTAAGAAGTTAAGACTCTGTACCATGTGGCACTTCTCACAGATTATATCACAATAAAGATATTGCACTTATAACGACAAGTCCAAACACAGGTTGCCAAGGTGGATCCTCACAATTCAAGTCCACACCTACCAGACTTGAAATAGCTGCTTGTTCCACGACCTGGAGGCTTCAGAAATTTCCTGTTTAGAAGTCATCCAACTTGAGAGAGAATACATTTAGGCTAGGAGGAAGAAAATGGAAAGGACAACACTCGTCTTGGAAGATCAAAGTTGTCATCTAGAACTAATATCAAGATACAACTTTTCCTTGAGTTCAAAAGTCAGAACTGCCGGGCTCCTTTACGGCCAGTTAATTCACATCTTTTGGCCCAATAAGTAACAGAACATATTCAGTGGTGAAAGACCCCTCTGCACATGCCAAGCCATCCCCACACTGCACTACCTGCACTAGGGTTAAACCACAGGGCCAGAAATTATAAGGAAAATCCCAAATTTAGTCCCAATTCCTAGGGAGAGCTGGCAGCTTTGACTGAGCAGCTCAGTCCAACAGCAGAAACCTATTAATTTAGTGCTTACTCGAGAAAAGGTTATGTTTGGTCTGACAGCAAAACAGTATTTGGCAAAACTGCATAAATTAAATTAGAGTAACAGTAGGCTGGAGGCTCCTGGATTAATTCCTTAAGTGAAGTAAAACAGTAATACTGTATATGTTACCAGAACTTTGGCAGTCTAGACCAGTAGTTCTTAACCTTTGTTACTCGGATGTTTTTGAACTGCAATTCCCAGAAACCCCAGCCAGCACAGTTGGTGGTGAAGGCTTCTGGGAGTTGCAGTCCAAAACTCCTGAGTAACCCAAGGTTAAGAACCAGTGGTCTAGACAGTTTGGATGGTGAATTGCTATCTACATAATATTCCAAAAGCACACTGTTCAATGTGCTTGCATTCTTCAAAGCAGGGGTCCCTAACCCCCCCACGAGCACACCCCACCCATCTGCACATGCATGCGAGTGTGCCCCCCCGCAAGCATGCCCTGCCTGTGAGTGTACCCCCCACTCATGGACCCCACCCCCCAACCAGTCTGCAGTTCAGAAAAGGTTAGGGACCACTGCTTCAAAGAACAGTCCAACTCTTTCAGCTGCTTTAAAGTCTATAGAACAGTGGCTTTTTGATCCCAAGATAAGTTAAGGATATTTATGGAATAAAGTTTCCCATCTCCTCTTCCTATCTCACAACCTGCCACATTGTTTTAGGACAGCCTCCAGCAACTCCAGTGAGGGGGATCACAAATGGCAGCACAGCGAAAGGAATGGATTCCTTGAAATGTCTCAGAATCCAGGCCAGAGCTTCTCTATTAGATGACAGCAGGGTCAGATCTTAAAACTATGCTTCATTACTTAAAAATAAAACAGATGACTAGTATGTTCTTCCTCTCCATACAATAAAAGCTGGTTCCATGATGCTTAATCAAGTAACAAGTTGATCTCCAAAACAAGGAAGTAAAATGGCTGGCAATGATTCACTGTGGATAGCTGAACCTACATCTAGTTCTTGCTTAATTTCTCAAAAATGGGATGGAACTCAAATCTCTTTGGAAATCTCATTAGGTAGCTTTGCCCTCTAATCCCTAATGCACAAGAACATAGTTACTCAATTTTACTTCAAGAATACATGGAGAATAAATTGAAGTACACCTGAGCAGGTGCTGCATGTCCTTCTTTCAATGAGCTCAAATCTATTTAATTGAAATACTTGTCCTGAAAAGGGTGATTGATGTCCATGTTCCAAGGCATTTGTGAACAGATTTTTCCCAAGGGAAGTCAATATTTGATTATCATTACCTCCGCAAACAAAGAACTTATATAAGATTTAAAGACTGCTGTTTTATTTTTAATTGCCCAGAGCTACTTTCACATCTAAAATCAGGGTGGGCAACTGCCACGACTCCTAGCCAGCACAGTCATCAGTGAGGGAACTGCAGTCTAACAAACATTGGGAGGGCCGACACATTAGGCTGGTAACATTTAATTGTGTTCCTATTATTTATTTATTTATTTATTTATTTATTTATTTATTTATTTATTTATTTATTTATTTATTTATTTATTTATTTATTTATTTATTTATTTATTTATTTA